TATAAAACACAATGTGAACCTGCAAAAGAAAGTGTGGAATTTGTTCTTTGAAATAAGTACAATATAGATTTCTTTTTTATATATAATCTTTATTTTTTATATCAATCACAAGTTATTAACTCTGTATCCCACCTGTATCCGGCTCCCTCATTCCCTCCCAATCCCACACTCCCTTCCTCATCTCCTTCCTGCCCCTTTCCAAGTCCACTGATAGGGGAGGTCCTCTTCCCCTCCTCCTCTTCCATCTGACCCTAGCTTATCAGGTAACTTCAGGGTTGGTTGCAATGTCCTCCTCTGTGGACTAGCAGGGCTGCTCCTTTGGGGGAGGGAGGAGGAGGTCAAAGAGCCAGCCATTGAGTTCATGTCAGAAATAGTCCTTGTTCTCTGTACTAGGGTAATCCATTTGGATACTGAACTATCATGGACTACCTCCAAGCAGGGGTTCTAGGTTATATCCATACATAGTCCTTGGTTGGAGAAACAGTCTCATAGAAGAGCCCTGTGCCCAGATATATTTGGTCCTTGTGGAGCTCCTGTCCTCTCCAGGTCATACTAACTTCCCCTTCTTTCATATGATTCCCTGAATTCTGCCAAAGGTTTGGTTATGAGTCTCAGCATCTGCTTTGATACACTGCTAGGTAGAGTCTTTCAGAGGCCCTCTATGGTTGGCTCCTGTCCTGTTACTTGTTTTCTCCTACTTCCAATGTCCATCCCATTTGTTCAGCTATACCACTCCTAGGCATATATCCAAAATATGCTCAAGTATACAACAAGGACATTTGCTCAGCCATGTTTATAGCAGCTTTATTCGTAATAGCCAGAATCTGAAAAAAAACCCAGATGTCCATCAATGGAGGAATGGATACAGGAATTGTGGTACTTTTACACAATGGAATAATACTCAGCAATTAAAAACAAGGAAATCATGAAATATGCAGGCAAATGGTGGGATCTATAAAAGATCATCCTGAGTGAGGTATCCCAGAAGCAGAAAGACACACATGGTATATACTCACTTATAAGTGGGTACTAGACCTATAAGATAGGATAAACATCCTAAAGTCTGTGCACCTAAAAAAGATAGACAAGAAAGAGGACCCAGGGTAAGATGATCAATCCCCACTTAGAAAGACAATATAGATTTCTTATGGCTTAAAATGTTTATGGTAACACAATCAAGATTCTTGAGATTGCTGTCTTCTAATAGGGCTTGTAGAAATTCATTTAAGAGCTCTCTCTCTCCCCCACTCCCTCTCTCTAAATGAGATATGGCCTTTTCACATTTACTGATGGAAAGCAGGCTGGCATCAGACTTCACAGCCCATCGTCTAATTGTCCTCCATTCACTTGTATTCGTAATCCACATGTGTCAGCCCTGAGATGCTAGTGTACTAGATGAATTTCTATTGGGAAATGTTAACAACTCCTGAGGGAAAAGTCACATATGTTTTGAGGAAGAACAGCAGTAACTTTTAAGGAGAATCAGCTGGTTTTTTTTTTTAAATTAGTGTAAGAATCTTATTAATATTCTTAGTATATAAAGGAATATATATTCCTAACAACTGGTGCCACACATTCCAGTGATAAAAATCCATTTTATGTGAAGTCATTATTTTTGTACCCATTGACCTTTGTTTGGCTATTGCTTTATTCTAACAGATACATCTTAATAATGATATTCTCTGTGTTCCTGTCTTTCTGTGTTACTTTTGGGTCTTTGCAGTGGTTTAGAAGAGGTGTGGGGAACTCTGAAAAAAAAAAATGATTCAAGACATAACCAGTTGCAGTTCAGAATTCTCAAGATCTTTTGAAAGTAATAACCTCCAAGACATAATTGACATTCAGAAACTAAAATCTGATCTACCCCAAGCAATGAAATTATACTGCTCTGGAAGCCTGCTGTAATAAATCTACCTAAAAGTTTTAAGAATGCAGCCATTAAAGTGGCTAAGAAAATATTAATGAACTAACATTTGTCTTTTATGCTCGGTTCTTATAACCTAAAGGTTCATTAGTAGTAAAGGCTATATTCTCAAATGAGCTGACATTCTGGGGAAAAATTAGTAGATGCAAAACAATTAAATTTTGGAAGTTGCAAATTCAAAACTTCAATGTTTATTTATGGTAACTGACATGGCCTCTTTTAGGTGTGGCTGGGGAGCCACTCTTGGTTTTAAAAGCAGCTATTTCTGAAAGCCTCTACTGATTGAAGTGTCGAAGCAGAGGCTGAGACTCATAGCCAAACTTTGGGCAGAGTGCAGGGAATCTTACAAAAGAAGGGGGAGACAGAAAGACCTGGAGGGGACAGGAACTCCACAAGGAGAGCAACAGAACCAGAAAATCTGGGCACAGGGGTCTTTTCTGAGACTGATACTCTAACCAAAGACCCTGCATGGAGATAACCTAGAACCCCTGCACAGATGTAGCCCATAGCAGCTCAGTCTCCAAGTGGGTTCCCTAGAGAGAGGAACAGGGACTGTCTCTGACATGAACTCAGTGGCTGGCTCTTTGAACACCTCTCCCTGAGAGGGGAACAGCCTTACCAGGCCCCAGAGGAAGACAATACAGCCAACCTAATGAGACCTGATAGACTAGGGTCAGATAGAAGGGAAGGAGGACTGCCCCAATCATTGGACTGGAGGAGGGACATAGGGGGAGAAGAGGAAAGGAAGGTAGAATTAGGAGGGGACCAGAGAGGGGGCTACAGCTGGGATACAAAGTGAATAAATTGTAATTTTTATATAGACAGAGAGAGAGAGAGAGAGAGAGAGAGAGAGAGAGAGAGAAAGACCTGTAGTGGACAGGAGTTCCAAAAGGAGATCAACAGAGCCATAAATACTGAGGCCTCGGGGCTCTGAAGAGAATGATAAACTCCAAGGACAATGCATGGAGAGGACCTAAAACCCCTGCTCAGATGTATCCCATAGACTCATTCTCCAAGTGGGTTCCCTAGTAAGGGGAACAGGGACTTTCTCTGGCATGCATTCAGTGGCAGGCTCTCTGCTTATTGCCCCTTTGGGGGTGCAGCCTTGCCAGTCCACAGAGGAAGACAATGCAACCATTCCTAATGAGATTTGATAGGTTAGAGTCAAATAAAAGGGGAGGAGGACCTCACCTATCAGTGGACTAGGGGAGGGACATAGGGGGAAGAGGGTGGGATTGGGAGGAAAAAAAGGAAGGGGCCACAGCTGAGATACAAATTGAATAAATTGTAATAAATAATAATAATAATAATTTTTAAGTGGCTATTTTTCTGTCTGCATCCTCCTTCTCCACCCCTTTTCCCTGATTATTCTTGTTCAGAATTCTTCCCTAAATAGTCTCCTTTTTCTTGTCTTTCAGCTAGTGGATTTTGTTAGTTTGTTTTCATTCCCCAGCCTACACACTTTCTAGGAAGTTCTCTTCTATTCCAGTTGTCAAATGCAATATGCTCACTGTGTGCTTGGTTCTGATGTTCCTTTATTAATGTGCCTTAATACACACTGTCCCCTCTAAATGAAACAAACTTCTACAGTCCTCACCCTCACCCTCTTTTGTCTAGGTAGCATGCTAGTCATCTTTCTTTTCAAGTGCCATTTCCACTAGATTTTCTACAACATGGTTGTATAGGTTATCTTAGTGTGTTATAGCTATTGTTTTGTGTACCATTGTGAAGAATTTAAGCATTTTATGACATAAAACCTATATTGATACATATATGTATATGTTATTTTATACATCTTTGAGTCTTTGGGTATATCCAATGAATGCATGAAGAGTGGATCAGTCCTGGGAGTTTTGTAGGTACTCAGATAAAGGGCATGTGAAAAGAGCTGCTTACAGAACTGTTAATAGTACCTAACATAAACTTGATCTGATAACAATGGGAATCCTATTGTAGCTCAGGCGATTTGAATGCACTTGCTCTTTTGCACACATCCATCAAGCACCCAAACTAAAATTTAAAAAAATAAAATAATAAAATGAAGGCAAGCTCTCTACTTGCTTGTAAGTATAAAGACAAGTATTTTAAATATAGTTAGGAATGATGTAGGTTTATTAAAGTGGCAGTTGGAGGTTCTCCTCCAAGATCCACGACTTCCCTAGCCTTAAGTATTTGGCAGGTTTCCAGTATCAGGTATGCGCACTCTTGCACCTAAGGCTCAGAGATCAGAACAGAGGCAAAGGTGGGATGATTGTGAGAGTCAAAGGAACCGAAAGTTTGCTGTGATGTTTCTCTCCTAGAAACGTCAGAGATCCACAAAGTCTCATCTACATGGCTGTCGCTGCCTACACAAGTCCTGAACAAGATGGCACCAATAGGGAAGCTAACAGAGAAGGCAATATCTCATGAAGACATCACCCTAGACAGTGAACTACAGGTAACTAAATAACGTGAAGAGCAGGAAAATAATATTCCTGGGGGAAGAACCCCCAAACAGGTCAGCTCTGAAGTTATATACCTCCAAATAACATTATAAAGACTAAGCACATATATATATGATAAATGTAATATTTTTACATTATACATATGTGCCTATTCTGTATAGTATAATATGCATACAATAAATTATAAATAACAAATTAAATATGTGTTACAAAATAACAACAATAAAAACCCAAATATATACAGAAAATTTTAGTGTTGATAAGTTTATTCTTAATCATAGTTTAACAAAATGAGATTTATTTTCTTATTTTATATGTTTGTACTATATGTGTAGGGTTATAAAATAAATTTTATTTTAGTTTTGTAACTAAATTACTCCTAAATTTTGACACAGAAGGATTTTACTAGTTTTTAAAAATAGGCCTGTCAACAAATTAATACTGACCAAAGACAGAGTGGCATTAAGTTTCTTATTAGCCCTCATGTAGGCTGCTAAAGAGCAGGCTTGGACTCCGGCCACAGTGTGAACAGTAGGGGTTTCTCCCTGTCCCCCATGGCCTGTCAACATTCCTCAAGGGCAACCACCCACTCACTCTTCATGAGTGAGCCATTTGAGGGGAGCATCACATACCTTCTCTGTCCTTCTGTGCATTTAAATGGGAGAGCAGGTTGTCGTTAGTTTGTATGCAGTATACTTCCCGGGTCTGGACACCCCCTCCACAGAGGGCTGTCTGGTTGGCGCGCCTCTTGTCCTGCTGACTGAGCAAAGGGTCCACATGGCACTCAGTCCACTCCGTCATTCTCCAGCCATACCTAGATGAGGACAATGACACGGCGGTGAAAATGATTATTCAGGAAAAGTGTTTCTCTATTCTTTTCAGATTTTCCTTCTAAAATTTAAACTCAAAAAAACAGTTTCCTGTGGTTCCAGTATAGATTCCCAGTCTGATGCAGATTCAGTTTCAATTGCTTCATTGTCCTCAGCTGGGCCCCCTTTAGAGGGGTTAAATGCAGAGTGAGCCTGTTTTAATTGCAACTACTGAAAGCTACATATCAATATTTTATGAAATAAGAACATAATGCTGAAAACATGAAATTTTATGAGCAATTAAACTGAACTCAAGCTCACCCTTACTTGATACTTATAAACAAAGGAAGGCTGAATCCAAGAATGCCAAACATTCTAAGGGATGATGAGCCCAAACACTTGTTTTGCTTTTAATAAAATGCATGAAAATTGCTTATTCATTCTGGAGCAAAATTATAATTTGCATGCTAGGATTTAAAAATATACCAGAGCAATTCAGAGCCTTCTCGTTAGTGTCAAGAATCAGAAATTTTTCCTGTACGTGCTCTGTAGAGCCCAGCATTTCTGATGAATGCCCGTGAATGACATGGAGAGCTGACTCCGCTGTTAGTAGAGCACAAAAAAGATTATCCCTGATTCTCAGAGCTCCAATCAAGATGATGATGTGAAAAGATGTTGGGGTTGTCAGCCTGACTCTCCCTAGAAGGAAATAGACAGGGAAGCATTTCCTCATGTCACTGGCAATAGAGAGTGATGACATTCTCCACCTCTAGGAAAACAGATACCTTAAAAGCCCCGAGGAAATGGTTCAAGCATCACTTTGTCAATCTAACCAAGGTACTTCCCCCTGGATCAGATTAATAGCTAACATGGGTATAAATGGATGTGCTTATCTCAATTAGACAAAACGGTTAAAGGTGCCCTTAGATGTCGGCTCTGGGTGCTTGGCTCTGTCAATGGTGAGGAACTTACCAGTGAAATTGAGATTCCTTCCCATTTTCATTTTTATAAGTGTGGGCTTGAGGCTGCACATTTGTGGAACTGGGCTTCAAAGGACAACACTCAGCCTTATTTATGAAGGAAAGGCATTTCAAAAACATTGATAATTGGTACTTGGTTGTAGGAACAGGGTACAGAAAAGCAAAACTAAAGAGCTAGCTTTCTAGAAGACCAAACAAACAAATAAACCTAGAATGATATTCCAGCATAAGTCATGCTAAGGAGTCCTGTGATAGAAACAGACTTCCAATAATATAAATAGTTGATATATTCTAGAAAAATTGGTACCGTAGGAAATGGAGATGACAAAAAGAACCAATGATATCTGCTTATTTTACTTGTGGTACTTGAAATTTGAGAAGATGAAAAATGAGGCACCCCTGTTAGACAAAAGTAAAAGATACTGCTGGGAGAGACAACATCCTAGGAGTCTGGGCAGTATCCTTGAACTTCTCTAATAGAGAAGAACCACCATAGCCGGTAGGACCCGGAAAGCAAAAAGAGGAAACTGGATTTTTTCAGTCTCTTGTTGTATGGGCAGACTGTGGATGATTCCAAATGCCGTAGATTTCATGTAAACCATGACTATTTTTGTGTCCACGTCCTTTGAATGTATGAACAGTTGACATAACCTCCCAGTGGATTGTGCACACTAAAGTTCTCTCAGTTGCTTTATAACATCCTATATTCATAAAAGAAATATTGTTAAGATAGTTTATTATAATGTCCTGGAAATAGTATTTTTAAGAAAAAATACTAAAGAGTGGCAAATATTTCAGGCCTGGTCTTATATCATCTGAAGTCAATGAACATATATTAGGCACTTATAGACTATGATATATGCTGGTGATGAAACAAAGACAAAAAAAGTGAAAAAAATTCATGAAATCCCAACATCTGAAAGCCACTTATTTTTATGTAGTTCTTTATTTAATTAAAATTGTTATATATATAAATATGTTATTGAATTTTAGTAGGTCATAGGAATCTATGATCTAAAAGTTTGAAGGTTAACGAATGGTGGATCACAGACAAGGTCAACATGTTCCTTGCTTTTTTCAATAAAGCTTTATTGGAACATGGGCACACTCATTTACATACCACCTGTATCTCTACTGATGGCGCTGAATCATTGCAACAGAGACATTTGCAGCTTGCCCAGTTAAAATGTCCTTATTGTGTATAGCCTACTAACATAATCACCAACCACTACTATAAAATGCACTAAGAGAAGTGCTATCAAAAGTCTAGTCTTCGTGAAGATGTGGAAGTACAGTTGTCAAATGTATTTTCATTCTGTAAAAGAAATACATTTTTAATGGATAAAGGGTGCAAAGAGATATTATAGTTGTCTGCTTAAAATATGCAAGACAACTCACCATTTCCATATTATTGAGTCTGAAATGATATTTAAGACAAAATACTGCTATTGCAAGTATTAAATATTTGTGATATCAGATAGCTGAAGGGGCATGGCTTTAAGTACAGCCACATTCTTCCATCTACTCACGTGGCACAGAGGACAGCTCCATCTTCCTGAGACAAACAGGCTTCTTTCTCCTCAAGTTCTGGACATTCTTCTTCACTTCCAATCGGAAATTGCCTGATGGTCCTTGTCCTTACTCGAGTGCCCGTAGGAGACGTGACATCGTGGCATGTTTTTGAACAGGAACTCCATTCCAGCCACTCTGACACCTGGCACTCTTTGGTGATCACACAGGACTGGAAGGTCAAGGGCAGTTTCTCTTGTTGGCAGAAGCTGTAACAAATCATTGACATTTTTACCTCATACTCACAGGCAGTTAGAAACTCCAGTTGAATCAGATTGGACAGCTTAATTTCTAAGAGGGCACATGATTTACAGTTTCACTGAAAATATGCAAACATTTGCAAAGTGCCGTGGAAAAACAAGCCGAACATTTGTATTTGCCTCACCTCCTGTGTGTATGTTGGGGGAGGAGGATTGCTAAGCCACTCTTAAGAAATAGAAAATAAAGAGGAGTTAAAGAAATCCACCAAAGCTGAGTTTACCTCATTGCTTCTTATTCATTCTAGATTTAATTTAGAAAAGGCAAAACCTGAAACTGTTAACATATGTTACATTTAATTTTTTTTTTACGGATTTAAATAATCATGTCTGTTTAGCTTCAATACTTTTGGAATAAAACATAATTTAATATGTGCCTTAGCACAATGTTATGTCAATTTTGACTTACAGTTATAATCTATGCTTATCCAAATATATCAACCTTTCTAATTTATTTTTTTAAGTTTCACTTTTGATGTGTCTGTTTATACGTTTGCCTGTGTGTGGTAGGTGCAAAGTCTAGTAGAGGGCAGGTGATTCTCTGGGGCTGGGTTTGCAGAGGTTGTGAGGTCCCCGACATGGGTGTGAGTACTGAGTATGGGTTCTCTGGAGGAGCAGCAAGTGTTTTTAACCACTGACACATGTCTCCAGCCTCTCAAATTAATATGAAATACTTGTGGATATCCTGATTAAATACACAATAAGTATTAAAAGTGTTTATCCATTTACCTACATGTTATAAAGATATACTGTAAAGATATCTTTAATATTTATTTTACCAATAAAGTATTTGTGTTCACATTCTTGTTTTTTTTTAATTCTCCTTGTACCTGAGGCATATTCGAAATTGTAATGTTAACAAATAAAGCAAAAAAATGATATCGATGTCAACAACTAAGGTTCTACATAGCTTGAGTTTTCCTAGAATTGTACTGACTCTTAGTTGGACTCTTTTCCATATTCATTAACGTATACTGTACATTCACAGAGGAAGCTGATTGGGATGATAGCTATCTGGGCTGATGGGAGAATTCAGTGATCACTCCTTCTCATTCAGGTTCCATATTCATTTGTTCTAATTACCCACAGGGGGAGGCAGGTCCATTTTACTGTAACAACTTATGTCCTGTTTTCTTAATCCTACCACCATGCATATTTTTCAAACCTGTATTCCCACAAGACAATTAGAGCTAAAAACATCAAAAGTCAATTTGTTGAACTTGAAACATCTTGAGAAAAAAAAATCTGAGAATGGTTGAAAGGAGGTCTGTGGGTTAGCTCTGTTTCCCCAAAACAACAGAGCAAAGCCCACCGATGCTCAGATGTCACGTAAGTACTGGCATTAATGCTATCCTTAGGTAGAACCCTAATTAATTGAATTTTCTTTGCGATGGGCAACTTTTCATCCTCACATTGGGAGTTACTTCTGAGAATAAAGCCAAAAAAAAAACAAAAAAACAAAAAACCAACAACAACAAAAAAACCCAAATAATGTTTCCTATAATCCCATTTTTATAAAATGTACACAATTCATTCCCCTTAGATTTATTACCTTTATTAATACCATTTTCCTTTACATTAGCATGTAGTCTTTCATGTAATACTTTAAAAGCTCATAGTCTAGGTACAGTGGAAAGATAAACAATCTCCTTTACTCCTTCCTAGATAAACTGACCACTGGTTTGCTGCCTCTTCCTACAGCCACTTTGGTTAACTGAAGCGAACTGACATGTTACTAAAGTTACTATATCGCATTGTTTTGTAATGAAATGAGCTCTTTAGGTAAATTCACCACATGTTTGCAACTATGAATACCTAGCAGGCAGTCATAGCTCTGGCCGTCATGAGTGTGGCAACAGTCAGAACAGACAAACTCTTAAGGAAAGTTTGGAGGCTGAGACTATGAGATTCTTTCAAGAGATACTGATGCCAGTGTTCCCTGAAGCTTTTGAGTTATCTCCCACACATAGGTGATATGAAAGTGATTATATATATATATCTCCTATATAGTAAGATATTCCTGTATCTCAGCTTTGGATTTCATCTCACCATATGAGGATTGTGACAGCTGAGGTGGGTTCCATTTCCTGCTTCATATCTTTCTAAGGAGGTTTACAACACTAGCTGTTGATGGCACTATCATCAACATTGTCAGTTGAAATACTTTTCAAAGCCTAAGTTTAAAACTGAACTCACATACTGAATCTGATCACGGTCGTTATCATTCTATACATGTTAATGTATCATTAATTCCATCTTATAGGGAAGCATCCTGATAGACGTTAAGGAGATTGATAAATATTCTGTCACTTCTAAGTTTTGTTGTTATGTAATTTGAGCTTCGATTTTTTTTTTTTTTTTTCTGAAAAAAGCTCATTTCTTAGCCATTCCATTCTCAGCCACATCTTCTAGCCTTACTGGGCTTTAAATTATAAGGTTTTAGAAGTTACTGCTTTAGCTGAGGTAGATGCCAAAGTTAAAGTGGAAACCAACTGGAACCAGGGTTTCAAAAATCCTTATATACCAAGTATGCTTCACGAGTGTTTTCTTTGCTCTTCAGGGACTTAGAAGTAATTATTAAAATCCCAAACAAGGACAATTTCCAAACCCATGGTCACAAAAATGATACTAGTTAAATTCATTGAATCTCAAAAAACAAAAAAGAAAAAGAAAAAAAAACAAACAAACAAAAACCGAGAGGCATGAATGTTTTACAAGGAGCTGTGGGAAAGAGGGGTGAGAGGAAGGACAGAATAATAAGGGTAGAAAGGAGCATAGAAGGCACGGGTTACAGTAATCAGAATATCAGAGTGCACTGTACCCATGCATGAATTTGTCAAAGAACCGATTCAATTAAAGATTATCATAAGGCAAAAATGATTTTCTGATAGATTTTAATTTTCAGTGCAAGCCTCAGATGCAAACAATTTAAATAAGCACAAGAATGATATCAAATTGCGATTCCATACTTCTATGTAGGGCACATAAAAAGCATGTGTGTGTGTGTGTGTGTGTGTTATTTTGTATTATGCCTCAAATTTCCAAAAGTACATTTGAAGAAACTGCAACAGTGTGATTCAGAAACCCAAAGACAAAATGGTAGTAATTAAGTTAGATCATATAGTCTATGGGGGGAGGCAGATATGGTGACATGAAGTAACAGGTCAATGTGGTGACCATATACTAGAAGCTTTCAGCTTGAGATAAAGTTAATTGATGGCTTCTGTCAATGAAATAACATATTGGATCAGAAAAAAGCAGATTGATTTCTTGGCCTTATAATAGAGTTGGCAATAATTAGTAAAAATTTAAAAATACACCTTACAAGCTTTGTCTATACAACCATATGTTATGGAGAGAGAGACACACACACAAACAGACAGAGAGAAACAGAGAGAGAGATACAGATAAACAGAGACAGAGAGAAACCGAGAGAGATACAGATAGACAGAAAGATACAGATAGACAGAGACAGAAAGAGACACAGAGACAGAGAGAAACAGAGGGAGAGAGAGAGAGAGAAAGAGAGAGCAAGGGAGTCTAAAGTGGAGGTCCCCATTGGGTCCCACAGCTTCGATCTCAGAATCTGGCAGAATAGAGGGAGGAAAGATTATAGGAGTCAGAGGACATGGAGGACACCAGGAGGACATGCCCAGTGTTATTAACTAAGCAGGGCTCACATTGGCTCACAGAGACTGAAGCAGGAAAGCACGGGGCCTGCATGGGTCTGCAGCAGCTCCTCTGTGTGTATGCTATGGCTGTCACTTTGGTGGTTTTGTGGGTCTCCTAGATGGAGGGTGTGTCCATGACATTTTTTGCCTGATCTTGGGACTTTTTTCCTCTATGAGGGTTGCCTTGTCCATCTTGAATAGAAGAGCTTTTACTTTGTCTTCTTGTATCTCATTTTTTTTCCTCTTTGTATGTTGTCTCTTGTAGGCCTGCTTTTTTCTGAAGAGGAAATGGTGGGGGACTGGATCCGGGAGAGTGGAGGGAGGGAAGACTGTGGTCAAGACATATTGTATAAGGGAAGAATCTATTGAAAAGAAACCTTTGCTTACATTTTAGGCACTACGTCTCAGGCCTGGTGCAAGACAGCCTGTGGTAAATGTACCTTCAGCTTTTTAACATCTCTACACACTGATTTCCATAGTGGCTGCAGTGATGTGCAACCCCCGGCTCCCAACAGTGATAGAGATTCCTTCTCCCCTGCATCCTTTTCAGAATTTCCAGTCAGATTCTATACCACTCCTTGTCGTATACACCAAGGGTTTGATATCTGACTCCAGCAATACCTGCTCAGCCAAGTTTGTTTTTTGTCATCCTAGCCACTATGGCTAGGAAATGGAAACATCCTAAATGCTCTTTTGTTGATGAATGGATAACAACATGTGTGGTAAGTTACACAGCCGTTTAGCTGTAAATAAAAAGGAAACCATGGCAAATTCCAGTAAATGAACGGAGGTGAAAACCATTGGACTGAGTGAGGGTAACTTAGACGAAAGAAGACAAATGCTGTGCGTTGTCTCTTTGTCTCTCCTAGTCCAGAATATTTAGATTCGAGCATATGCCCTGATGTATCCTAACTCTAGGAAAGTACAAAGGGACTACGGCAGGAGGAGAGGAAAAGGAGCTCCAGGGAGGGTAATGGTAGGAGATGGGGTTTATGAAGTGGATGATAGAGTTAATGAGGGAGGATCTTAGCTAGGAGGAAAGATGGGACAGGGACAGATAAATCATACTAAAAATCCTTGAAAAGCCATAGAGAAACATTATTTTATCCTCATTTTAAATTATACATAATATAATTGATATATATTATTATTATAACATATATATATGCAATGAAGTTACACCACAGAACGTGATAGAGCTCCAGCCAAGAACAACATATCACTTAATAGAATCCCCAGTACCAGGTATGGGAAATCTCCCAGGGAGTTTTTGGTTGGAGA